AGCTCGTTTATAGCAGACAAAATGCCAGGAACCGTTAACCTCCACGCATAGTCTAACTCTCCGAAGAGAGCCTAACGTCAGTTAACACCTTATTAAGTGAGAACATAACCATCGCTCATAACTCTGAGCTTTCCAAATTCTCCACTCGAATAACAGTGCACATCGGCGCAGAGCGTTTGGCCCTGCTGCTCCCGCATCTGTGGGGACCGAAGCTCGTTCCCCCCCCGAGGAACAGATCAAGCAGCATCTTTAATCCCTGGAGTTCATCACTGGGCGCCCTTCAGACACCAAATCACAGTGGTTTTCAGCCCACAGTTTCAGGCCCAAGAGGCACAGAAAACGTTAAGAAGTTTGAAAACAGTGACCAAAGCAAGTTCTTATAAAACCTCCAGCACTAATACACCTGTGATATGTCTAATGGACTTCACATTGCTGGTCTTACGGATCCACAAGTGAAAGAAAAAAAAGAAATCCAAACCGCTGTCAATTACTGATGCCACCGACATCAGTGGCACCACTCATCCCCGTCACAGCGGTCCCACGGCACCTCGCCACAGCTGAAGGCTGTTTCCACGGATGGCCAAGACCGTCAGAGTCACTGTCCCGAGCCCTGCAAGCTGAGCTCACCGAGATGCCTGTGAAGAAACAGTACAAACAGAATTTGGGGGCTCGCAGGATGAGAGCATTTAGCTTAGATGTGAAAATATTCAATATATTCCTAATTATCACCAATGCTTCTTTTCCTCAAAGCGGTTTGGGTGGGGAGGAACCCAGCCTACGCCACCTTGTGCCGTTGGGTGCTGCTCAGCCACCCATGGGAAAGGCACCCTACGGTGTGGGGCCACCCCGTGTGCATCAGCCCATCACCCCGCTAAGTCCAGTATCTGCCGCCCAAGGAGACCCTGCGCAACGCACACGGCAGTTCTGCAAAGCCAGACGGCAATCATTCCTCCCTAACACTCGCAGCCGCTCGTAGTCATCTGCGAGCGTGAGCTTTGACTGCTCCTTCTCGGCTTTCCTGACCACCGAAACTCAGAGCAATCAGAAAATTAATCTGAACTGTCTCAGAAACAGCCCCAGGGCAGGAGTCAGGCCCCCATGGGTTTCTTTGGCCCTCCTTAGATAATTTTTTTCCCTTCAACTCTTCTTTAGGCACAAATGCAAGGCTGTAAAATCAATCTGCAATCCGCTGTAAATCACGTGCCAAGGGGGAAGATGGCAGAGGTTGGCTGTGGGAAGCCTGCACGGCCTCTCTGCCCAGCGGAGCTCCCAAAAAGGCCACCAAGTCTCCCACAGGTGGCCAGCGCGCCAGACCGAGGATGCCATCCTCAGCTGAAACCAGAATTCTCCTGCTCCACCAACAGCCCGTGCCACCTTTCTCTCTTCCCGGCCCCAGAGTTATCCTTGAGGAAGCAGGATCCATGCAGAAAATAGGAAACTGAAACTCGGTCCCCGTCCTTGCTGCGATGGTGCCAAGCTGCTGCGCTGTTCCCATTAGGTTCATGCTGCCAAGCCTCAGAGCTCAACTTTTCATACAGGTGACATTTTGTGCCAGTTGAAAGCATCGCATTTTCCTCCTTCCACGAGAACAGAGAACACTGCAACCGTAATATGGAACTCAGGATTTCTTGGTGAGGTTTTCAAATCCAAAGCATCCCACACACGACCTGCCCCCCTCTCCCACACAAGCAGAGCCTTCAACACACTGAGTGCATCAGCTGCTTTATGTTACCAACATGTGGGCCGGCCTCGAGGACCTCAGGGTCTTTAAGTAGGACGATGTTTTACACCCATACACCCCAGTGATGCAAATGGTATCTAAAGGGAAGTTCATGCTTTCCTACTCTGCGCCTTCAAAAGGCCAGTCTGATGTGGAAATGCCATTGGTGATGCACCGGGGAAGGGATGGAAGTCCCTACAGCGCTCACGAGCACCCGTCCCACCGCTTCAGGGCTTTGCATCTTCACTGCTGAAGGCTGCTATTTGATCCGATTCCCAACACAAACCCAGCCAGCACAGCCAATGCCCACTGGAAAATGAACTCCTTTATTTTAAGCTGTTTATTTTTCATACAGCATACTCAGGGTGCTAAGGCCAGTGCAGCACATTCCCGAGAGCTTGATGTTCACGATATTTTATCAAGCAAGACATGGGCCAGGTAAGGTCTCTGCACTGCAGGGTGCTCCCTGGGATCTCCCAGGGTTATTCCCTTTCACTCACCCATGGAAACGCCTGAATTAAGACTATGTCCTACAGCACCTCGGTGGCTTATTGGATTAGTGACTGCTCTTCAGCAGCTCAAATCAAAGTCTGAGCAGCATGACCTTTTGTTGTCACCTAGGGCTGTGAAGGTGCCCCAATGAAACGAGTTTCCCTTGCCCTGCTCCAGTGGTCCATATCACCCAACAAGCAGACATTTCACAGAGCATGAAACCCATTCAATGGGGCCCAGGACTTAGCAGCATGCTTGAGTGGGAAACCTTCCCACCCACTGGACACCCCTTTGGAATGTGAATGAGAAGCCGGCAGCAAAGGCCAGCACAGGATCCGGCCCTGCTGCACCTGGCATGCTGTGCCACCAGGGCCCTTTCTCCTTTAGATGCGAGATTTAAAGGAAAAAAAAAACAGGCTGACATTTTACAAAGACCAAGTTCAGCTCTTCATGGCTGGCAAGCAAACCTGTGCACCGTTTGCTCCTGTCATCTTCTGCATCTCCAGCCTTGGGTCATTTCAATAAGCAGTTCTTACCGAAAAACAGCTTGAAGAGGATTTCTACATTTTAAATCCTCAGTAAAAGGAAAGACAACTTAGAAGGGCTGTGGTGCATATTCTGTCTTTATCCAGTTTACACACAAAAAGGCAACTTCATCCCAAGGTAAGAAGGGATTTTAGAAACACTTCTGCCACGTAGCCTGGACAGGCAGGGAGGGAGGGGACGCTTTGCAGTTGCTGCCATTTGACAGAAGAGCCACCTCAAAACAACCCTGAACTGATCGCCAGGAGGACTTAAGCCTTAGCACCATGACATTCAGCCACAACCTTGCAGAAGGAACACAGTGAAGAGCGAACAGTCAGGACTTGGATTCAGCCAGCCACAAAGCACCAGGCTAAAGCCCCAATTTGAAGCATTGGAAGCATAAAGCACAGAGCCATGAACACATAACTTGCATGAAAATTCTGCAATTTCAAGTCATCAGTGTGGTAGGTGGCAGCACAGCCAACAGCACTGCTGATACTCACGTATGAGAGAAGAGAGGGAAGGGCCATAGAAAAGGTTAACAAGCAAAGCTGCAATTTCTAAATGAAAATGCATCCCCTGAGACAGAGCCCTGCAAGCAGCCGCACAGGAAAGGTGCTTAGAGTGGGGCAGGTCAGAGCAGCCGGGAGCAGCAGAGGCGCACAGCTCTGTTCGCCTTCTGCAGCCCTCTGCAGCCCTCAACACTGCTAATGGAACCCGCGATGCTTCCCCCGTGTTGTACAGGTAGCAGCAGCTCCGTACTCCTGCGTCAGCACGGTTTGAACACAAGAAGAGCATGTGATGATTTGGTGTTTAGCACCCATGGTTGGTCCCCAGCACACC